ATTATTCCTGTCATATAAGTCGATTGGAGAGAGTGCAAAAAGTCTTTATTAAGTACGCTCTGCGCCCCCTTCATTTTGAACTTCCTGTTCCGGCTTATGAATCTAGATGTATGCTTATTGATCTCAAGACATTAAATTGTAGGAGAACCTTCCTATCTCTCACTTTCATTTTTAATTTAATATCCGGGGTGGTTGACTGCCCCTTTTTACTTGAACGCATATTTTTTCTTATTCCTAATATTTGTTTAAGGAATCATGCCACATTTTACGTTGGGCTAGCGAGGACCAATTATGCGGCTAATGCTCCTATTGTTAGAGCTCTTAAAGAGTTTAACTTGCTCCCAAATTCTTCAATTTTGGACTTCTCCTTCTGTGAAAAAAGATTCAAAATGCTACTAAATGACCTGTTAAATTAGTTGGTAGTCTATCTTAACCTGTAACTAGTCTGTAAGAGATGTAATAATTTCAAGACTAAATAAATAAATAAATAAAGTTTTAAAATAAATAAATAAATAATTTGCAACTTTCTATTCAGATTTCTTAGAAAAATTCTAAGTATGTATTTTGATTTAACTGATCGTCACTAAGATTGCCTTTAAATCGCCTCATGTGAACACCGTATTAGTGTTGCTATTACAATACCAAAAATTTACTACAACATTACTTCTCAAAACAAACTGAATCTAAACAAAATTTTAAACTCCCATCGTCTAATTCAAAAAAACTTTGTAATTTAGTTCCTCAATGAAGGTTTATTCATAAAAAATAAACGAAATTTAAAAAGCATTACACCGTGTGACGAAAACCAAAAATTTTTAAAACACAAAAAAATCAATATATTCACAAAACTAGGAGCCAAATATAGTATAACTGCGTTTTTAATTTTTCTCTTTGACTTCAGGATTTTTTTTTGAAATTTCCAGGATATGATTGAATAAAAAAATTATTTAAAATATTTGGTGCATTGTAGAGTAACAATTTGGGTATCAGTTAAAAGGAAAAATTCTGTAGAATTAAAAAAGAAATTAAGTTTTTGTTGCACCAGGACGAATAAATGTTGAAAATGTCCTTTTAAAACTTTATCCTTGAATATCCTTGCAAATTTCCAATATTTTATTTAAAAAAAAATTTATGCCAAGGACTAATATGTAAACTACCACATGCTCGAATTTCGTCCTTCAAACTTTATTAGTTTTGGATAAAAAAATTTTACACTTATCTTTATAAAATATTGATAGTTACAATATACACAAATGAAGATACTGGAATCATTACACTGTACAGCACTCCGCTGGGTATTGGACCAAACCATTTTTTTTGAGAGATTGCGTCATAGGTAAAAAGGTAATTTTTCCGTTTTTCGAAGTTAGGCTCGGAAATCGAGATATGGGCCTTCGAAGTTTGAACTCAACTTAGTTGAGTTGTGTCTGAGACAACTCAACTTGTATACAACTCAACTATTTATTGCTATTGCCGTTCACAACTGTTTTCAGTTGACTGTAGCCATTTAAAAGTTGGAAAATCGATACAAATTTTGTTATTTTCATAATATTATATTGTTTTAATGATATTAAAATAATTAAAAGCAAAAAAAAAAAATCAGTTACGAATTATGTTTAACCGATGAGCCCGAGGATGCTAGTGCTAGACAACAAACAGACCACTACGTTTTCAAAGTTGAGTTAAGTTGTGTCCCACAATACGAATTTACAACTTACAACTCAACTATCTCGAAAGTTGTGAATCATAATAGGGGCCTAATTTAAAAACGAAAATTGTATTCAAAAATATTTTTACGTAAATTGACAATTTTTTTTGTAGAATTTGGTGAAAATTTTACATTTCTGTATTATCTTTTTGGGTTAATTACGGCAGTAGCGTGGAAATTATTTACAATAAAGAGGGTAAAAGGATAAGTTATAAAAAAGAAGTGTAAGAATAAATTAAAATAAAAGAAAATAAATAATATAAAAAAAAACTTTTTAATATACAACGCTTTTATAAATGGACTAAAAAGTAGAAAATAATATTTCT